TTGCAATCTTCTCCCTCAATCTCTTCACCGCCACCAGATTTCCATCCTCCAATGTCGCCTTATATCACAGTCCCATAAGTACTCTTTCCCATAATCTCCGCTGTCGCGCACAGAAGATCATCGGCGGTGAAAACGAGAGGCCCGTCAAAGTGCACCAGCTTCCCTCCTGAATCTCCACCGGTATCTGCTTCGGCAGCTGCTTGTCCAGTTTTCTCTGTTCCACCCACTGATTTTCTCTGTTTACGAAAGGTTGCTCTTTTCCTGATCAAAAAACAGAGCAGAGCACAGCAGAGGAGGAAAGAAACGCAATAAAATCCCTGCACCAATTATATTATATCTCTAGTGTTCAATCTCCGGCGATGGATTGCGGCGGAGAAAGATGGTGGGGTGGTAGGTTAGCAGGGCAAGGAGTTGAAGAGCTATAGCCACAGAGGTTAATGTTTCCTATGAAAGAGCTAGAATTAAATCTTTCAGACAGCAGAGCTGGGACTCTACCTGAAAGATTGTTATCAGACACATTTAAAAATGTGAGCTTTGAGAGGTGAGAAAGAGATGCAGGGATATGACCAGTGAAATTATTTTCAGACAAATCGAGAAGTGAGAGGTTTGAAAATGCTCCCCATTGTTGAAAGAAGCTCTCCATTGAGCTGGTTCATTTTAAGAGAGAGAACGGAGAGATTCCCAAGCTTGTCAAGTGAGTCGGGAGCTTCCATTAAGGGAATTACCCGCAAGGTTTAATTTGAGCAGAGAAGAAAGATTCATAGTGAAGCTGAAAAGCTTCCTCCAATGGAGTTTTGCGAGATATCCAAGGTTTTAAGCATCAAAAGGGAACCGATTTCTTTAGGTATGCTACCATGAGCTGATTGTTACTCAGAGTGATCTCTTTCAACAACCTCAGTTGCCCCAAGGTTGCAGGAATGGGTCCAGAAAGATGTTTTCATCAAGATTCAAGTATTGCAGCTTATAAGCTGTCGCACGAGGAATTGACCAGAGAGCGCGTTGTGTTGCAGAGAAAGAAAAGTTAAAAGCAGGAGACTTAGCAATATCCGCCGGAATCTCGCCAGAGAAATGGTTAAAGCTCAAGATTAAGCCTAATAAAGCTTAGAAGATTTGAAATCGAAGGGGAATTACCAGAAAGCGAATTATTGCTAAGATCTAGAGTCCGGAGCTTTAAACAGTTACCGATTGACGGCGGGACCTGCCGGAGAAAAGCGGTTGTTGAACAGAATAAGACCATCGAAGATCTGAAAGAAGCCGACGGCTGAAGGATCTGGCCGCCGATCAAGTTGTTATGAAGACTGAGCTTGCGCAGTGCAGTGAGCTGGCCGATCTTCTCCGAAATGTGGCCGCCGAGACCCTCCATGGAAGTTGGATGGCAATCACTTTTCCTTAACGCACTTAATGCCAAACAGGCTCCCGAGCAAGCGCCCAGGCCAGTGTCGTTCCAAACTTCGAAGGAAGCCTCGCGGGTCATTGATTGCGTGCTTGAAGGCCTGGAGCCCTTGGTAGTCTTCCTCGGCGATGATGTTTCCGTCCAACGAGCTCGTCGCTACTACTGCGGCGGAGAAGAGAAGCAAGCAAAGAGAGTGAAACAAAAAATGCTTTTCTTCTTACAGTTATCCTTCCTGTGCTCTAGAACAAACAATGGGCGTGCTTCCATTTGAGATCAACAAATCCAAATGTTTATAAGTCAGTGTTTCATCAATTTGAACTGAGAAAGAGAGGAGAGAGATTTTGGAGACGGAGAGAGACAGAAAAGAAGCTTATATATCTGGGATAGGGATCTAATGAGGGGTTCTTTAAGGAGAGGAGTAACGGCTAGTTAGCCATTTCTGTTTCGGAGCGGAGCGGATGGAGTTTGGAAGTGGGGAACAAGGAAAATGGGAATCATGGGCGGTCGTCTCTGACTGGGTAACGGCTATAGTGTTGCTAACGGGTCCCGCGGGGTTGAGATGGGATCCGCATTATGGATAAAGGTACGGATTTTTAAATGGCCAATGACGTAATATGAGTCGGGAGTTTTTTACGGGTCGGGTACGGAGGACCAGAAGAGAACCCAGCCGTTTTCTCGGACTTTCTACTCCGTGACTAAGGAATATTTCCGCAAAAACAGGAATCTTTCCCGTCTTATTACTATTCACGAATCGCAAAGCTACTTTCTGCCACCGAGTGACACGTGGAGATTTTAACGTGTATAATGCTGTTGGTAATTTCAATTTTATTTATTTTTTATTTATTTTTACATTTAGGTCACACATATATAAGACTTGAACTCAAAATATTTTATTGGTAGTCAAAATTTCTAACAAATAGACTGAAATGTCCTCTCTTATGGAGAATATTTTTTAACTCTTTTTACACGTTATAGACTTGATAGCATTGCATTTCTACTACATATTACTAAATTATGTATCAAGTTCGCTTGCTAGATCTTTAATGAGTTTATTTATTTGATTTTGCTAATTTGTTTTTTTAAAAATAAGTTATAGCACATTTTTGAAAATTCATTGGCATAAATTTTCAAAATAATGTTTCAATTAGAAATTTTCAAAATTAAATTAAATATCATTAAAACTTGAATCTCAACATATTATAGTTGAACTAAATGTATCAATGAGACATCGGTCTACATAAAAAATGATATGATCTATGTCAAATGAACCCAAATCAATCACTTAAAATATATTGAGAGTTTTAAGATATCAATTGAAGGATAAAATAGTCTTTAAATCTTATGTGCTTACAATCAAATCAAGCAGCCTAACTAGATGAATCCAATTAATAAGCTCAATATCATTCGATTTTGACATGATTAATCTACTCACATGTTGGATAAATGATAAATAAAATCACGAGATCAATATCAATCATTTGATTAAATGTTTCAGATTCTTGTCAACTTACCAAATTATCCCTCTCAAAAAAGCTATTAATAGAGCTTTATTTTCTACACGGTGAATTTGAGAGCTAAGAGAGTTAAAAAACTCTATAAGCACTTTTCAACAATTCCCTGCTAGTTATTATCATCACCATCGCTATCACCATCACTTGACTTTCACCCATCTTGTTGTTGTTTTGACTACTAACATCTAATCCCATTATGAAACTTCAATAATCAACCTACGGGATGGGTATCTTAACTATGGTAATCCTATAATACGAATATAATATTGAAAAAGCAAATTCATATATCTACAACTATATAGTGGATTATTGAAATTGGTCCAAGCCTCATGATTTTTCTCCATCTTGAATTTTCTGCTTAAAAATCCTAATGACCTTACAAATTGTGTATGTATGTACTAGATCTTTTTACAAAGCTAAGATATTAAATACTCTATTGCGACAAATTTTCTAGTACATGTGTGGTAGTATATAAAATATGAACACATGCCCTACACTTCAAACTTCAAAAACAAGAAAGTACTCTTAATCCACTCCATTAAGTCATTAATGTTCCTACTTGTGAGTTTGAAATCTATAAATCCTAACACTATATGATATATAATATAAATAATATTAAAATTAAATCAAAACTCCCTTGAGTCATGGAGGTGACTCAATGACTATCATATATAACTAGATTTATGAGATCTATAAAAATATGAGTGCAAGATATCCAATAAGAATATAGCGGAATGAC